TCTCTTGACCTCGTGATCCACCCGCCTCGGCCTCCCAAAGTGCTGGGATTACAGGCGTGAGCCACCGCGCCCGGCCTTTGAAATTCTTTTCTAATAGAAGTCTGTACTAATGTATAATAGTTAAGAATTACAAAGCGCTATTCTATGTACATCTATCCTATTTAAAATAAAATAGCCAGGCCAGGCGTGGTGGCTCATGGCTGTAATCCCCCACACTTTGGGAGGCCGAGGTGGGTGGATCACCTGAGGTCAGGAGTTCGAGAATAGCCTGGCCAACATGACAAAACCTCACCTCTACTAAAAATACAAAAAATAGCCGGGTGTGGTGGCAGATGCCTGTAATCCCAGCTACTAGGGAGGCTGAGGCAGGAGAATTGCTTGAACCAGGGAGGGAGGTTGCAGTGAGCTGCGATTGCACCATTACACTCCAGCCTGGGTGACAGAGTGAGACTCCATCTCAAAATAAATTTAAAAATAGCCGTGTTTTCTTTTCTATGTATAAAGCCAATTCATTCTTTCTGTAGAAGAGAACTTGAACAACACAGAACTGTATACAGAAAAAGAAATCACCTTAAATCCTACTGTCAAGAAATCCTTATCACCAAAATATTAGTTGTTAAAACAACCTCTCCAGGCAGGAGTCACATAACCTTCGTTAAGAAAACATCATCTTCCATGTTTCATTTACTTTCTTCCTGTCTTTTAAATCAGCAGTTTATGGTTATCGTTTTTTCCTCCCTTGATCATCTGGCTGAGATCATATTTGTCCGTGTAAAGTTACTGTTTTTTTTTTTTAAATCCATCCTTTTCATACTGTATTTTGTATACATACTGAAATTAATATAGTTACTCCACCTTTTAGAGGGAGATTAGTCTCTTATTTATTTGTTCCTTTATCAGTCACTTATGTAAGTATGGACTCATGGATATCTGTTTTATGCTGTGAGTTATAATCCAAGGCTGCTTTGTTTTGTAGCTCTAATTGTTCTCACTTTGACCATTGGGAACTCTTTCAGTCGCTTCCCTTGTCCCTTTGACATGCTCTTATCATTGTGGGGTCTTATCTTTAAAAAAAAAACAAAAAACATTCTTGCACTGCTTATTTCTGGCTTTTCTTACTCAACAGCAAGTTATTTTATATCAATAATAAAGACCTACTTAGTTTTGAGTTTTTTAATGTGTTAAAATTAGGTAAACAATTTTCAATTTGATGGCTGTATTATAATTTAAGAGTCATTTTCTATGGATAGATATTTAAATATGTCTTCCCCTACTCTAGTAGTACCAGTATATACTGGTGAACCTCTCCGTTTTTGCTCTCTTGTCTGCCTATCTAATTTTTTTTTTTAATGTGGAGTCTTGCTGTGTCACCGAGGCTGGAGTGCAATGGCTCGATCTTGGCTCACTGCAACCTCTGCTTCCTGGGTTCAAGCGATTCTCCTGCCATAGCCTCCCAAGTAGCCGGAATTACAGGCATGCACCACCACACCTGGCTAATTTTAGTATTTTTAGTAGAGACAGGGTTTCACCATGTTGGTCAGTCTGATCTCGAACTCCTAACCTCAAGTGATTGCCTGCCTCAGCCTCCCAAGGTGCTGGAATTACAGGTGTAAGCCACGGTGCCCAGCCTGCTTATCTAATTAGAACTAATTCCAGAATGTGAAATTGCTGAGTCGGAGGGTATGTACCTTTAAACTTCTGATGCAAAATTCCTCCAGAGAGATTGCACTAACTGCATCTTCCTAGTGATGCTATACAGGGCTCATTTGATGTACATCTCACTTACACCTGAAAAATTTTTCTGCCACTTTTCAGTTGAGGTGATCTGCTTTTTAGTTTTGACATATTCACATCTTTATATAGTTAGACTTGTGTATTTTTTAATGGTTTCCAGATGATGTTATAGATCTTTCTTAATTCAGTAAACATTTGTTGATCACCTATTGTTCGTTGATGATGTTGAAATGATGAGGTTAGAGACGTAAAATCTTGTCCCCACCCTTAAAGAGCTCTCATATCTTAAAAAAAAAAAAAAAAAAAAAAAAAAAAAAAAAAAAAAAAAAAAAAAAAAAAAAAAAGAAAAAGAAAAAAAAACCGGTCATCTAAACAATTTAGACAATATAATTAATGCTGTATTTGCATCATGTGTAGAAAGCAGTATAACTGACTGCTTATAGGAGAAATAAAGTCTTTGAAGGCTTCACAGTGAAGGAACCATTAACAATTTTCCAGACAGAAGGGTGGGGAGAGGTGCATGATTACAGTCATAAGGAAACATGATCAAAATCTTGAGGCATTTAACATGTCTCAGTTTTGGTTTTTTTTTTGAATATTTTCTTTTTTATTTTCTTTTCTTTTTTATTTATTTATTTATTTTTTGAGACGGAGTTTTGCTTTTGTTACCCAGGCTGGAGTGCAATGGCGCGATCTCCGCTCACTGCAACCTCCGCCTCCCGGGTTCAGGCAATTCTCCTGCCTCAGCCTCCTGAGTAGCTGGGATTACAGGCACGCACCACCATGCCCAGCTAATGTTTTGTAGTTTTAGTAGAGACGGGGTTTCACCGTGTTGACCAGGATGGTCTCGATCTCTTGACGTCGTGATCCACCCGCCTCAGCCTCCCAAAGTGCTGGGATTACAGGTGTGAGCCACCGCGCCCGGCCCATGTCTCAGTTTTTAAAGGAGTTGCTGATGATGTGCGCTGAGACTGGAAAGGTAGGAAACTGGATGAAGGGAGAAGTTATTGGGAAGTTCAGACCACCTGATCAGAGCTCTGTGTTATAAAAGATCTTCCTGGTGTCAGTGTAGCATGGGGACTGGCACGAAGGAGAGATGAGAAGTAGCTGAACAGATAGTTACCTGCCTATGTGAGTGAAATGTGAAAGATACAGTATCATAGATGTCTTTTCACTGAATTCCTTCAGATCTTCCTGCTGATCATGAGTTTTAGGTATTTTATGACTTCATTCTTTTAATTGCTTATATTTTTGTCATCAGCTGTCATTTTTATCTTCAAAGTATAACATAAGGAATATTACTTTTGAGAGAGAAAATGCCCCAATAAACATATTCCTTTGTGTTTCTCATTAATAGGCTGCTGCTGATGAATACAATAGACTGAAGCAAGTGAAGGGAGTAAGTATTGGAGATTGTTCTTTAGAAGAACTTTTCTTTTTTGTTTTTTATTCTTGTACCTACTCATCTGGAGGGAGAACTTTTCTGTGTTACTCATTTTTATTTTTCTTAAATTTTCTTACATCTAATTTAGCATTTAGAATGACTATGAATTCCTTGTCACATATGCACTGATTATCATAAAAAGCCCTTATTAAAGATGAAAACTATAACTGAGGTTTTGGAACTTTAATTTCAGCTATTTAAAGCTACAACCAGTACTGATTTTTTAAACCTTTTTATTATTTTTTTTAATTCAATGCGTGTTTATTGAGATAGTTTCCCATTCATCTTGACTCAAGGTACTCTGGGTGCTGCTTCCTCCCTAGGGAGCATCTTCCGTTAAGCCTTGCTTTGCCTCCTGTAGGCTGCGAAGGACAGTGGAGCAGCCAACACACAAAACTACTGCTAGTGCCTGGCTGACGCCTGTGGTGATTTTATCGCATCCTGGGCGTTTACACCCATGAAGTAGGAGTAGGGGCTCTGCACCAGGCATTACTGCTTGGGTTTCCTTTTCTCCTCTTCTGGAGAGGGTTGAAGGAGATCCTCTGTGAGAGACATGTTGTGGGGGAATTGCCACCACTGGAAAAGATAATTATTAATTATATTTTTTAAAAGTTGAAGTATACATACAGAAAAGTGCACAAATCAAAATATATAACATAGTGAATTTTCACAGTGTGACCACATACCTGTGTGTGCAGATCAAGAAATGTATTTCCTCTAGTGCCTCCCCACCCCCACCCCACCCCTTGTACTCCTTTTCAGTGTTTACCCTCTTTCCAGAGGGGTCCACCATGCTCACTTCTAACATCATAGGTAGAGTTTTGGTTATCTTGAATATAACATAAACGGAACCATATAGTATGTATTTTGTATGTGATTTCTTTTGCTCAGTACTGTGTTTGTAAGGGTCCATTGATGGTTTATTAATATTATTTTGAGATGGAGTCCTGCTCTGTTACCCAAGATGGAGTGCAGTGGCACGATCTCCGTCCACTGCAACCTCCACCTCCCGGGTTCAAGCAATTCTCCTGCCTCAGCCTAGCTGGGATTATAGGCACTTACCACCATGCCTGGCTAATTTTTTTATTTTTAGTAGAGACAAGGTTTCGCCATGTTGGCCAGGCAGGTCGTGAATTCCTGGCCTCAAGCAATCCACCTGCCTTGGCATCTCAAAGTGCTGGGATTACAGGCGTGAACCACTGCACCTGGTCAGTTCATTGATTTTTATTGCTGTGTAGTGTTGTATATAAAACACAACTTTATGCATCTATTCTATTGTTAGTGAACATTTGGGTTGTTCCCAGTTTTGGGCTTTTAAAAATATTGCAGCTTCAGACTAGGCACGGTGGCTCACACCTGTAATCCCAGCACTTTGGGAGGCCAAGGCAGGCGGATCACCTGAGGTTGGGAGTTCGAAATCAGCCTGACCAATATGGAGGAAAAAATAATAATAAATTGCAGCTTCAAACATATTTGTAAATGTTTGAACATAGAAGTGATGAGCATGTGTGTATCCAGCTTTAGTAGATACTGTCTTGTTTTGTTTTGTTTTTTTGGGATGGAGTTTCACTCTTGTTGCCCAGGCTGGAGTGCAATGGCGCGATTTGGCTCACCGCAACCTCCACCTCCTGGGTTCAAGCAATTCTCCTGCCTCAGCCTCCCGAATAGCTGGGACTACAGGCATGTGCCACCATGCCCAGCAAATTTTTGTATTTTTAGTAGAGATGGGGTTTCACCATGTTGACCAGGATGGTCTCGATCTCTTGACCTCGTGATCCACCCGCCTCAGCCTCCCAAAGTGCTGGGATTATAGGCATTAGCCACCGCACCCGGCCTAGTAGATACTGTCAAACAACCTTCCAAGTAGTTATACCAGTTTACATTCCCACCAAACACCCCAGACTCCTGTTGCTCTGTACCCTTGGTAACACTTGGCATGTCAGTCATTATTGACTTAAAACATTTAAAAAAGTTTTATATTAACATTTTTGTAAATTATCCAGGTGCTGTGATACATACCTATAGTCCTAGCTACTAGGGAGACTGAGGCAGAAAGATTCCTTGAACCCAGGCGTTGAGAGCTGCAGGGCGCTATAATTGTACCACTGCACTCCAGCCTGGGCAATAGGATGAGACCCTTTCCCCCCCAAAAAAGTTATAAATTACAGGCATCATGATTTTAAATAAGAGTTTAAAGGGTATACAGTAAAATTTCCCATCTCTCTTATCCCCTATTCCATTTTCCTTTCCCCAGTCAACCAAGATCACCAGTTTCTTGTTTTACTTACAGTTTTAGATGATGTGTTAGCAAAAAGGCCTATAAGTTTTCTTGGTCATTTTGCAGATTTTTAGAAATGAGGCTATCCTTTGTAAAAACCCAGGTTAGAAAATAGGATTGAGCAAACAATCGGCTGCCTGTGTGGTTAGTGATACTGCCAGGCACCTTGAGTATATTACTTCAGTCAACACTCCCAACAATTCTCTGACTAAATCTTCCATTTTTTTGTTCACCTCTACCTTCCCAGCAGACCTGCTTTTATTTTGTTGAATTTATGTGATTTATTTTCTCCCTTTTTAGTCTGCAGATTACAAAAGTAAGAAGAATCATTGCAAGCAGTTAAAGAGCAAATTGTCACACATCAAGAAGATGGTTGGAGACTATGATAGACAGAAAACATAGAAGGCTGATGCCGAGTTGCCTGAGAAATTAAGTATCTGACATCTCTGCAATCTTCTCAGAAGGAAATGGCTTTGGACCATAACCCAGGAAGCCAAACCTTTGTGAGCATCACAAAGTTTTGGTTGCTTTAATATCATCAGCATTGAAGCATTTATAAATAGCTTTCAATAATCAACTGGGCTGAACACTCCAATTAAGGATTTTATGCTTTAAACATTGGTTCTTGTATTTGAAAGAAATACTGTTTGAGGTTTTTAAGCCTTAAAGGAAGGTTCTGGTGTGAACTAAACTTTCACACCCCAGACAATGTCTTAATACCTACAGGTATTTGTTTGCATAGGTGATCTCACTTAATCCTTTCAACCACCCTTCAGATAACTGTTATTTATAATTCTTTTCCACATAAGGAAACTGGGTTCCTGCAATGACCTCTCTGAAGTGAAACTGCTTGTTTCCTAGCACACAGTTTTAGTTAAGTCTGTTTTATGACTCCATTAATAATAAAGTCCCTGGCCTTTCATATTTTAGCTACTATGTATTTAACAATCTAACAGCCTCTCTATTAATTTTTTTTCTGTTATGTGAATGGTTAAAAGAGGTTTTTCTTATGTTATCCTGATAATAAAGATCATGTAAAAGTAACAAATGTGTGAAATTTAAAGATTGTAAATATATACGTTTTTAAAATCAAAGTTTAAACCCAGTGGTTAGAATTTTGTGTATTTTTAAATACTTTTTATCTTTTATGGTTTACATGCATTTTTTTAAAACCAGCTAGACCTTTTCATTATATCAGAATATCTGATTACATTTATAATTCCATTGTGACTTGACCTGTATCTTATAGGATTCAATTTCCATACATATTTTATAAGGTATTAAATCTGATGTTTCCATAATAACCTGTTTGATATTGTTAGTGCTGTTAACATACAGCTGTGGAAAACCACACTCAGGAGTTGTATCTGTTGTTGTTTATACTCTTTTGGGTGCTATGCTGGTTGGTCATTTCCCAGTCCTTTGGCTGTAGGAATGCTGATGTGTCTGGAAATAGAATGCTATACCATGAGATACCAAATAATTTCAAATGGTGCCCTTAAATTGTATCACTTTTTTTAAAATTCAGATTTTTTTTTTTTGGGGGGGGGTGGGGCCTGTGGATTCATACACATGCAATGGGCTGTATTATAGGAGAGGAATGCTACAGCAAGAGCCTTGGGAACCCACCATTTTATAGCAGTCTGTAAGAAAGCCTGTTTTTTTGTTGGAAAAATTCAGATGCTTATTAGTAAAATAAAATTAGTTGACAGCACTGTGCTAAGTTGATTGTGATCATTCTAGTTTAGACTTTTCTAAAAACCTTTTTTAGAATAATCTATAAACTGCCTTTTGTATGCATTTAAGACATTTAAGTATATAATTTTCGATATATGATTTTGAATTATTTTCCAGAGATAAACTTTTAAATGTTTCCATTATATGATTTATTTCTTCAAATTGAATAAATTGTTAATTTTCTGCAT